TTCCCTTAACCCCGGAGTCTGCTCTTAACTGTACTCTCCACCCACCTCTCGGGGTTATATCAGGAGAAATCGGGAAATCTGGAGATTGCCAAGCACCTGACGGCCAGGGTTGGTGCTGTTCCAGATTCCTAGGTCGGGGAGTGTTTTCAATCTCTGCCTCAGGGGGGGAAGAAGCAGGAAGAGCAGATGCCAGCGAGGAATCAGAAGCAAGGAATCAGATGTATCAGGAGGAGGAGGAGGAAGAGGAAGAGAATATGGTAAAGGCAGCAGAGGGGGAAGAGCCTCCGGCTCCGGACAGTCCAGGACAGGATTTATAGTTGGTCTCGTCAAAGTCATCTCACAGACCCCAACTCCCTCCCCCAATCCACATTCCTCCAAAACCTTTCTATTTCTACAAAGAGACATAAACGCTTGCGCATACATCAATTCCTCCCATTTACCATTCTGCCGGCAGAACAAAATCAATTGTAAGATGGTATTATAATTAACACTTCCCTCCGGAGGCCAATGTTCTTGATCATCTAGCTGATAGCGTGGCCACGCAGTTTCACAGAAGAATTTAGCTTTCTTCCTAGTCATAGGATCTCCACCAAACTCTGCCCAATGTCCCAATGCACAAGAGAGGGGGGTACATTTCCTAACCTTACTGTTAATAGTACCCATCTCAGGACTGCCTTCCCGGTCCTGACCGTCCGACTTACCTGGGATCCAGGGATCTGTTCTTAGTCCTCGTCCTCACAGGGGAAAAATCACTGGTCTTGGACTCGGGCCAGACAGAATACTTACAGAGATAATCCCAGGCAGGCGTGCTGACGGTAGGCCTTATGCCCTTTCTACCCTCTCACCCAGGTGCCTGTTACTGATACTTTCACTCTATGACTTTGCACCGTTAGGCTACTGCCGCCTCAGCAATCCAGCTCCCCCTGAAACAAAAGTCTCACCGGGAAAAGAGATCCCGGGGCGCGCCTGACATTTGATAAGGAGGAGCTGTGTCTGGTCGTCAGCTAGTCCGGGCAAAGTTATCTAAGGCAGTCCCATCTGGGTCGCCAAAAACTGTTGAGCCCCAGCTCAAGTCTGGGATCGTGCCCGGTATGCAAAAGCCAATAAAGATACCAGGGGTGAAAGTATAAAGATTTATTGCTAGCAATACAAGGTGCAAGCGGAATCATTTCACGTAACAAGCACCCAGATTCTTAATTCTAAGCATCTTTTATACAGGAGTATTGGACCTTCATAAGCATTCTTGTTTGCTAATTGGTTATAAGGGAGTGATGCAAGGAGTTCTTTACTAAGCATGTCTCTATACCTATGTTTTAGCTATGTATCTCATTTACATACATGTATGTTTCATTAGCATACTTTCTCCCCACCTAGGGGTGTGAATCTTAATATTTAAATCAGCTCTTTGCCCTACTCCACTAATTCTGTTTTTGTTTTCAAGTCTCCTTTATCTAAGACTGTCTTCTCCTTATCATTGCAATTGAGCATTAGTTACAGAACAGAGACTTTTGCTTGGGCTATGTGTAGTGGTTTCTAGGTCAAACCTAACATTTTCCCCCTCTGGAGCATTTTTAATTATTTTTATTATAATTGCTCCACTCAATTTGTTTCAACACAAACCTAGTATTCTCAGCTTTCTTCGTTTGTAAAATCATTTGACAAACCGGACATCCTCTCCCACCAGCAGACCACAGCTGGGGTCTGCCAGCCCCAGCCACTGCCTCCGCCACTTGTCCCCAGCCAGGCAGACACCAGCCAGAGTTCTCCCGGGGGGGGAACCGGCCAGTGTCTGGCCACACCCCCACCGCTGGAGCAGCAGGTGGGGGAGGGGACCCTAACAAGGGCAGCAGCCCCTGTCATGCTGTCCTGGGGAGTACAAGCCTCCACCTGGTGTGGAGGCTGCGGTGCAGGTGGGAGCAGAGCAGACAGGGCTTGGGGGCCTATGGCCACCCCAAAATTCAACTTAGCTACACCTCCAAGCCCTGTTGCCACTCGCTATGCACAAGCTGCGGCAGCTCTGCCCACCCTACTCCCACCTGCAGAGCAGTGCCCTCCACAGGGAAGAGGCTTGTGCTTCCCCAGACACCATGATAGGGGCTGCTGCACCTGTCAGCTTTTCCCCTCCCCCCAGTCCAGCCCTGTTCTCTAGAACAGACAGCACAGCCCAGCCCAGGGGTGCAAAGCATCCTGGGATGTTGGGGGACTGTGATTTAACTTGAACCAGGAAGGGGTCTGGGACAGAAGTTCCATAAACCAGTTTGATCTCAATCAGTTAAGTCTGATACTACATTCAACCAGGTTTATCTTAAACCGGTTTGAGCCATTTTAAAACTGTTTTAATGTCTACTGGACTTCTGTTCTGTTACAAGTTTAAACCAGTTTCTGATCACTTAAACCGGTTTATATGCAACTTGTATCCCTAGCCTAGGTAACTAGGTTGTCTCTCTGCTGGACTTTGTTAGTTTTGAGGCAGGAAGCAGTAAAACAGGTTTGTCCAAGTTCACCCTTGACTGTTACACAGAGGTAGGTAACCTTTCCTGGCTGCGGATCAGAACACCCCACCCTGCAGGCAGAGGAAAGCAAATGCTAGGACCCGCCCATACACACTGCTTATCCCTGCAGCAGCACAGGAAAAGTACCCACAGGCAAAGCCCTGCCTGTCTGCAGACCTGATCCAATGGTTTTGTGGGATATATCCAGTCCACATGCCCTCACAGTTGCCAGCTTCTGATGCAGAAGATTGGCAGACTTGCAATAAAGAATTCTTGAGGAAAGTCTTCTTTTAATTTAGGCAAAGAATAATGAGGTGACACCAGACCATGCCAATTCTGCTTTTACTGATGTAGTACTTATGCATACACTATCCAAGCAGGCTGTCATCTGAGCTCAAATCAGATTATGAAATGTTTTAAACATCCTTGGAGTGGAGAATGGTTGTTGAGCTAGTAGGAATTTTTTTTGCCTACTGATATCAGGCCTGACAACCTGGATCATCCTGTTAGCTGAAAAATAAACTTCCAGCACTTGGTATAACAAAACCCTCTCAGGACAATCTCTGATTTAGAATTTGCTGAAGGATTACTTAGAAACACTAGAATTAGCTTGATTAGCTAAATTTTATTCTGCTCTGAGGAATCTCAAAACTGCTTACTCAAACAATTCCCCCAAAATGATAATCTTATCAGAGAAACTGAACATGATTCCTTTTTCAGGAGAAACTAGTAAACAAACCTCTCAGCCACTGGTTCTTTCAGGTGGCTGCGTTGTATAACAGAGCTCCAGGGGAGGAAATAAAATAATAAAAGAAAGATCTCATTTCACCAGCTTCCTCTTAGCAGGGAACAAACTGTAAATATTTTAGCAGCTTTTTAGTTTGTTTCTCCCGATTTTCTTTCCTAGTTGAAGGGGTTTGAACCATATGTATCCAAGTTCTCACAGTAAGAGAAGATCCCTCAGACCTGTTGTCAGCAGATTTTGAGTGAAATATTTTTCCCCTTCTACAGAAATCTTTGAAAATATTATCTTCATTCAAAATAATTCAACACCTTATCAATTTCAGGATAAAGTTCTTATTTTTAAGGCAGCATAACGTTCTGTATGGATGCAGAAGTCTATCCGACTCATCTTCATGCAGTTTGTTTCACACAAGTAAGGAAGAGATGCCAGATGAGCAAAAACTGAAACTTTATCCTTCAAAGAAGGATGATACTTTTCATCTTTGCTTTAAACTATACTAATAGGGCCTAAAAAAAGGGACAAGGACTCAAAAAGCTATTCTCAAAGATAAATGCTACCTAGATTTACCGTTTAAATATTTATATTTTACTTGCATGTCCAGCAAAGACTGCAGAACTGCAGTTTGGAAAATGAGATATGCTCTTTTGTGCTCCTTACAGGAGTATAAAATACACAAAACATGTAACAAGCTATGTAAAAGTCTGAAATAAGGCAGGAATACTTATTATTCTGGCATGAAAACATCTGAATAACACCATTTTGTCAAGAACCACATAGCTTCAAAAATGGCCTCATCTGTGCCATCTTTCTGCTCCTCCACACACACCCCTACATCTTTTTGCCATTCTCCTCCACACTATCTTCAGTGCTGTCCCCAACAATGGAAGTATTCAGTGGGCTTCCTGCTCAGTTTTCTTTGGCACTGTATGGGTCTTAACCAGAAGTAACTAATCTGACAGAGAAGGTTTTTATTAAAAATTCAAGTACAAGAATAGAGCAATAACTAGCATCAAGCCATCATACTCCTGCTGGTCTTAAACCAAGTCCTGATCATCCATATGGATCTGATCATGCATCAACAGCACCACTGAACGTGCTACTGCAAAAGAAGCCTGCCACAAGCGTTCACAAGCTTAAGACAGGGTGAATATTCAACTGCAGCTCAACAGGTAGCTGCAGGGATCTGAGTTTGTAGATCAGGGTCCTAGTTTTGCAAGTAACCATGAACTCATGGTAATAAGAAAGGAAATATTGTTTTATCCTTCCAGACTCAAAAAAACCCCATGAACACTGAGTCAAAATACAGTGTTTGTACAGTGTTGATGCAATCTTCTTTGGATATATCTATTTAGAAAGAAATTAAGACAATTTTCCACTTCTAAATACATCATGTTAAATTCACCTAGTTTTAAAGAAGTCTTAAAGAAAAATTATTAATCAAAAATACCATAAAGATTTTGCACTGTCAATATTTGCTATTTTCATCATCTGTTCACTCTGAAGACACTTAACAAAAGCTGTCCCCTTTTTCCAATTTTGATGGGCTTCACAATTTGTTGTGGTTGAGAAGAAAATGCTGGTGTTTTACACTAGCACTAGCTTATGCTGTGTTCTTCTCAAGAACTTCTCTAAGGAAAAGTCTGTCCTACCATACTTATTTTATTTATATATATATATACACACACACACACACACACACACACATATATATACACACACACACACACACACACGAAATCAGCAAAGAGACAGCTTGTGCTCACCTGAAGGCAATGTCCTATTATTGTGTTGGCCCACTTGATGCATGCTCTGCTGTAATAAATTCAGACATTCTCCAAGGCAGCTCAGGGTGGCAGCAGAGGTAGCTTTTAAAAGCAGCAAGTCCTGATCAAAGGCAGAGAGAGGTCCAGAACTTGGAAGGGATTCAATGGCTTGCACAAGATTCTTCTGCTGTCCCTCCACTTGGCTCATGATCTGCAATTATTTAAAGAAATAAGAGAGTCACAAGAAAGGCTTCAGCACAGTTAGATAATGATGATGAGTACTTACAGGTTCACATCACCTGTACAACCATAAATTAATTGACCAACTGAGTATTAACATTAGAGAGAGAGAAATTTCAGACTCGTGAGGAAAGAAAGATTTTTTTTGATTTCTAATCAAAACCTATAAAATTGATAGGGCCTTGGCCACTTAAAACTACCAATTCTAAAGCAATTAAGGCAAAACTACTGTTTAGCACTCAAGATTTATGCTTTATATTTTCAAAAGTAACAGTCTGAAAGAGCAGGCCAACTCCTTTTCTATTACAAATTCAAGCAGAGATTCCTTGCTGAGCATTTCATTTACAAAACCCAAACTGATTCTTTTGCAGACTCATTAAATGGGTGTTTTTATAAGACATAGTAACTGACTCCATCCATACACCCCACTCCCACCACTACCACTACCACCACCACCACACAAATTTCAGGGAGAAAGTTCGCCTGTCACTAGATTTGGACGGTGTAAAGGAAAATAAAACAGCAGACTTAAAAAGAGGAAGGAGACAATCAATTTAATATCCAATCTACCTGTAAGAGTATTTAGCAGTAGAGAGCTCATGGAAGCTACATCATGTTTTAGACAGGGACATCCCTGCTTTCAGGAAAGGTTGGGTTAGATCACTACCGAGTTACCTTCCCACTTTTAGGATTTTTACAACTGAATGAGTTGTGTAGGGGCTGGTCGGTACTCAGGCAAGTTACACTTCTGGCATTCCACTTATAGCTCAAAAGACAAAGAATGTTTAAATCCATAATGCATTCAAGTTTTATGGGCTTTAGAGTACAGTACTCATTCATTTTTCTTTCACGCCTTTTCCAGAAACAAGACCACCAAATGCATCAGTATATGATGCAGGTATAAAGCCACTGAAAAAAAAGACAAGTTATACCGACTTATACCACAGTTAAAATTTGGTCCCGTGCTCCAGGGTATCAAGCTTTGACTAGAAAGATTCAGAATTTATCCCTAAATAAACTCAGAAGGATAAATGATTGCCATCATTTTTCAGATGCCATCAACTGATACTGATTTGTCCTTTACAAAAGGAAACAGGGAGATATGACCAGGAGACAGAAAAATGAATGCAAATTATAGGCAGACATCATCTTTGGAGTAGGACCCATTGTGCTGGGACTCATCCCAGCACAGCTGATTTGTTTCATTGGCATCTAGGCTAGGAACAGAAGTTACACATAAACTGGTTTAAGTAATCAGAAACTAGTTTATTAAACCTGTAACAGAACAGAAGCTCCGTGCACATAAACCAGTTTCAAAATGGCTGCAACTGGTTTAAGATAAACCTGGTATCAGACTTAATAGATCTGGGTCAAACCGGTTTATGAAACTTCTGTCCCAGACCCCTTCCCGGTTCAAGTTAAATCACAGTCCCCCAGCATGTTTAGCAGACAGCAGGGCTGGCCCTGCCTCTCTGTTCCCTAGCTGGAGCAGCGAGG